TTTGACTTTTTTGGGGTAATTATTGTGATCTCTCAATTGCAACAGAGAAATACTGGTAAATCTCTGTAGACTGATGGCATTTCATGCTGTTCAGCTTCATAATCTTAAAATGTGAGCAAAAACTACTCGTTTTGTCATCATTTTAGACATTACACAAGAGAATCATTCAAACACTAGCTCTAAAGTGACGTTGGTAAATGAGCAAGGGTTCTGACTTTTGCAGCTAACGTCTGCAGTTCTGACGTTAGCTGCATGTGAGTGAATGGCAGAAGAAAGTAGTTACTCATACAAAAGGATTTTGAGACTCTCCGTGTTTGATTTTCTCTCTTATTTACACGATTATACCATTAAACTGTTGTATAAATGCATTATCACGCAAGTAGCAGTGCAATGTGGTTGTATATTGACACTGGTGGGACACTAAGGCACTCGGTCTGCAGCCTAGCGCCAACACACGCCTCCCACCAGTGCTGATGTACAGCCATAAAACACTGCCACTTGTTTAATATTGCTCATATACATATATATATATATATATAGATAGATAGATAGATAGATAGATAGATAGATAGATAGATAGATAGACCTGTATTTAATATCTATTTCTGATTACATTAAAGAGGAAATTGTAGTTATATAAAATGTATGCAATAATAATTTAATTTCTTACTACAAGTTTTTCCATGTATATTTTAATGTATTTTAATGCAAAATATAATACATGTCTATTGCATGGCGTTAAATATATATGAAGTATGACAGATCTGGATTTTAGTTGCTGTCATAGTCTTCATAGTCACGTGACCTTTATGTTGTCAGAGTCTGCAGGGTTTGTTGTCAGATGTTGGGAGGTCTGCATTTCTCAGTGTGTGGTTCACAGCGTTTGTGGCACCTAGAAAACAAGCGCTCCCTCAGGGACAAACGCAGATCGGTTCCCAGCGTCCTCTCGGGGATCTGATGGCATCTGTTCTGCTTCTGCCGGCCACTTGACTGATTGCAGAGATGAAACTGTCTAATACTTTCCAGATCAGCCAGAGACGCACACAGAAACAATGCTGGCTCTGTCCAGACCTCCGTTTTAGTCACTCTTTTCAGGATCTTTTGGTTTTCTTTCGCTCTGCTGCATTACTGTCGTGTTCAGTGTTCGTTCATCCCTTGTCTGTCATCAGATCCATCAGTATTTTTACTTTAAAGGAGCCCTGTGTTTTTTTTCTTTACCTTTTCCTTCCTGAAGGCCACTTATAATGCTGTTTAGATTCAGAAGCTCTTCAGTTTAGCATGTCTGTTATCTTACTGTGTGTTTTATGTTAGCTAGGGTTTTATTTGCATGCACGGCTTTAGGATTTAAACAAGCTACTTTTGAATGAAATAACAAAAATGTTTCATCTTTTTTAATTGTAATGGAAATTCGTTTTCATATGGAAATTGTGAAATGTATAACTCAGAATTGGAAGATTTTGAATTGAGAATTGCAGTATTTTAAATTTACAATAGCAAGATATTAAACTCGTAATTGATGTAAACTAGATATGGGTATCGTTTGGGGTTATTTCGATACAGGTGCTAAATCGATACTTTTAAAATGGTACCAGTGGCAAAACGGTGCCTGAACCGATACTTTTTAGCCACAAAATTATTTGACATAAAAAAATTATATATATATATATATATATATATATATATATATATATATATATATATATAGTTTTTTTTTGGTCAATTTTATATTTTAGATATAATTATTTATATATATATATATATATATATATATATATATATATATATATTTATATATATATATATATATATATATATATATATATATATATATATATATATATATATATATATATTTATTTATTTATTTATTTTTTTTTTTTTAATAATTTAAGCATACTGCCAAAATGAGTTTTAAGGACAACAGAGTGAATGTTTTGGAGTGGCCATCACAAAGCCCTGATCTCAATCCTATAGAAAATGTGTGGGCAGAGTTGAAAAAGCTTGTACCAGCAAGACAGCCTACAAATCTGACTCAGTTACACCGATTCTGTCAGGAAGAATGGGCCAAAATTTCTTCAAACTATTGTGAGAAGCTTGTGGAAGGAGACCCAAAACATTTGATAAAAGTTATACAGTTTAAAAGCAAAGCTAAAATAAACACCAAGGAAATGTATGTAAACTTTTGACAGTCTAGAAATTAATAAAAAGTTTCTCCAAAAAAAAGTTCTCTCATTATTCTGGCATTTAGCAAATGTAAATCATTTAGATAATTGTAACAGACCTAAAATAGTGAACGTTTAGTAATTTACCATCAGACTTTTTTTTTTTTTTAAATGGTCATGTTCCTTTATTAGAGTGTATGTAAACGTCTAGTTTCAACTGTGAAACATGATTGTTTGTTATGTGTAGTATTATTGCACTGCATTTCAGCTTTACATTTTATTTTGTTTTTTCATAAGTTATGTGATCTGAATAAATAAAAGAAGACAAATGGCTCACATGCCAGTTTTTGTGACTCATGAAAAACAGTTTTTATAAATCATAAGCCACTGCTCTGAGTCATAAAAGTTGAAGAGCTCCTCAACATGTGTCTGTGTGGCCACAGTTTAGATGAATCAGTTCGGGAATCACTTCTGTCTAAAGGACACTGTGACACATGGAAGATCTGAGCTCAGCATGTAAAACACTCTGTGGGTTACTGCGGTTTAATGTGAGCGTTCATCTTGAAACACTTGCTGCTTTTTTCCACATGCACTCATTAGTATTATTCATTTTAGGTTAGTACTCATTTTTATAATTTTAAAGTTATGTTTTTCCTCTTTCTCGCTATTCATTTATTTATTTTTTTAGGTGTTTGTATGTTTAACTAATTTATTTATATTATTTATGTTTACTTCTCTCCTTGTTCAATCATTTCATTATTTATTTAATACATTCATGCTACTAATTCTATTTATTATGTTTTGTCTTATTTCCCTTTTTGTTTTTCTTTGCAGTCTTTTTTGTCTAATCTTAATTTTTATGCATCTGTCCATCCATCCACCCATCCATCCATCCATCCATCCATCCATCCATCCATCCATCCATCCATCCATCCATCCATCCATCCATCCATCCATCCATCCCTCCATCCAAATTTTTGCTGCTGTTTTTTGCTCCTCAGTTTATTTTTTATGCATTATTTATGATTATTCAGACTTAAACCCCACATTTCTCTCTAATAATTCTCCCTGTTCTCAGGTCTGTTTGAGGTCTGTTGTCTTTCATTCACGTTTGCTGTCAGAGTTCATCTATTTGTGGATCAGATATCTCTGCCTGTCTTATCAATGTGTAAGAGTCCGGCTGGTGCTGTGTGTGCTGAAAAATGCGGCGCTGTGCATTCTTAAATTCAACCATTGTGTTTGCTGGTTGCATGTATTGTGTTCTGTTCTGTTCTGTTCTATTCTATTCTATTCTATTCTATTCTATTCTATTCTATTCTATTCTATTCTATTCTATTCTATTCTATTCTATTTTATTTTGTTCTGTTCTATTCTGTTTTATTCTATCAATTCATTAATTTATTTATTTACACATTTATTTAATTGTTGACAAATGTATTATTTATTTATTTGTTGATTGACTTTCTATTTATTTATTTGATTTGGTATTATTGCTTTTGCTTATAGTATTTTTCAATTTCAATTTTTATTATTTTGATTTGTCTTTCTTTGAATTACTACTTTAGTAAAAAATATACATCTTGTCATATTTTGAATTATATTTTTTAATGGTTTGGTAATTTTTTCATTACTGGATTTACTTTTTAGTTTGAGATATTATTTATTTTGGATAAATAATTAAATTCTATGCATCTGTCCATCCTTATCAAATTCCATTCATCCATCCATTCATCTATCCACCCAATTTGATTAATTTCATCCATCCATCCATTCAATTTCATTATATCCATCCATCCATTTAATTAATTCCACCCTATTCCGTCCAATTTCATCAATTCATCCATCCAATTACATCTGATTTCATTTATTCCATCCATTCATCCATCCAATTTCATTAATTCCATCTATTCGTTTATCCAAGTCCATCCAATTTTTTAAAATCGATCCACTTTCATCCATTCATTCATCTAATTCCATTCAATTTCATAAATTTTATTAATTCATTCATCTATTCATCCATCCAGTTTCATTAATTCCAACCATCTATTTAATTTCATTAATTTCATCCATCCAATTTCATCCATTCAATCATCCATCCATACAACTACATATAATTTCATTAATTCCATATTTGTTCATCCAGTTCCTTTTAATTTTCTTAATTCCATACATTCATCCATTAAATTTCATGTATTCATTCATCCAATTTTACAAAATTTTATAAATTCATTCATCCATCCATCTATTTAATTTCATTAATTCCATCCATCCATCCATCCATCCATCCATCCATCCATCCATCCATCCATCCATCCATCCATCCATCCATCCATCCATCCATCCATCCATCCATCCATCCATCCATCCATCCATCCATCCATCCATCCATCCATCCATCCATCCATCCATCCATCCATCCATCCATCCATCCATCCATCCATCCATCCCATTTTATAAATTCCATCTATGCGTTCATCAAATTGTATCCAATTTTATTTATCCATCCATTCATCTATTCATTTATCCATCCAATTTAATTAATTAATTAATTCATTCATTCATTAATGCACTCATCCGTCCAATTTTATTAATTAAATCAATCTATCCAGTTTCATTAACTCTGTCCATTCTTCCATCCAATTTCATCAATTTCCTTAATTCCATCCATTAATCCATCCCGTTCCGTCCCCTTCTCCACAATCACTAAGAACTTCACAGCTAAATCTCTGTCAGTGTTTTGTGGATCGTCTCTCACTCTCGCCTGTGTCTGTGTGCAGGAATGCTAATATCAGCAGAAGGTTTTCTATTATTAACGTGTCTCTGTCTTTCATTTGTCAGTTCAGGCTGGGCGTGGTGGATCTGCAGCCGGTGCCGGAGCCCACTGAAGTCATCCGGGAGCTCATTACTCACGGCCTGGAGCAAAGCTCACGTCTTCAGGCCTCAAACCAGCACCTGTTGGAGGAGAACCAGAAGCTGAGGAGAGAACAGCAGCACATCACTGAAGAGTAGGTCGACCTCCAGCTCTCACAACACTGCTCCTCTAATAGAGAGTTTCACTCATTAAGAGGATTTATAAGCTAGTTCAACCCCTCAGGAGCTTTTACTGGGATTTTGGAATAGCGGTTTGTAATTTATGAGTATGTTTTGGTCTGTGTGGTTAGCATTGGTCATCATTTACAACACATAAGCCATCCCTCAAATGCTGTTTTTGTTTTTTTGTTTTTTTTACTTTTGATTATAACATCCATCAATCCATTCCAGTCCATCCATCCCAATCTATTGAATCCAATCCAATTTAATCCTTCAATCCACATCATCCATCCTTCTTATCTCATCCCATTCAGACATCCATCAGTCACATCCAATCTCATTACATGTATTAATAAATATACATTCATCTATTTTGAGTCTATCCATTCTTTCAGTCCAATCCAGTCCATCTATCCATTCATCCATCCAATTTAATCCGTTTATCCATCCATCCATCCATCCAGTTCATCAAATTTAATTCATCCAATTTAATTAATTCAGTTAAATTCAATTCCTATCCCTCCATGCATCCATTCAATTTAATCCATCCATCTCAATCTATCCATCCCAATTCATCAGATTAAATTCATCAATTTCAACACAACACAACACAACACAACACAACACAACACAACACAACACAATACAATACAATCCATCCATCTCAATCTGTCCATCCCAATTCATCAGATTAAATTCATCCGTTTCAATACAATAAAACACAACACAACACGACACAGTACAACACAGTACAACACAGTACAACACAACACAACACAGTACAACACAGTACAACACAACACAACACAATACAACACAGTACAACACAACACAACACAACACAATACAACACAACACAATGCAATACAATACAATACAATACAATACAATACAGTACAGTACAGTACAATACATACAGTACAGTACAATACAATTCAAACTATTTCAATCCATCTATCCATTCATTCATCCATCCCAGTTCATTAAACTCAATTCATCCAGTTCAGTTCATCTAATTCAATTCCAACCCCTCCATGCATTCATTCAATTTAATCCACCCATCTTAATTTATCCAATTCTATTCATCCAATCCAATTAGTCCAACTCAGTTAATCTAATCCTATTGAATTAATTAAATTCATCCAATTCAATTCATGCACTGCAATTCAATTCAATTCATCCAATTAATTTAAGTTAAACTCAATCCATACAATACAATACAACGTAAAGCACATCAGTTAAATTAATTAATATTCTATATTAATATTAATATTAATATATATTATAAATTAAGTTAAATTCAATTCATACATTGCAATGCAATTCATCCAATTCAATTTACTTAAATTCAATCCATACAATACAATACAAAGCAACGCAATTCAATTCAATTCATCCAATTAAATTAAGTTAAACTCAATCCATACAATACAATACAATACAATACAAAGCAACGCAATTCAGTTCAATTCAATTCAATTTATCCAATTAAATTAAGTTAAATTCAATCCATACAATACAATACAAAGCAACGCAATTCAATTAATCCAACTAAATTAAGTTAAACTCAATCCATACAAAACAAAACAATACAATGCAGCGCAAAGCAACACAATTCAATTCAATTAATCCAGTTAAATTAGGTTAAACTCAATCCATACAATACAATACAATGCAATGCAATTCAATTAAATTAATTTAATTAAATTAAGTTCAATTCAATTCAAACGTTGCAATGCAATTTATCCAATTCAATTAAGTTTAATTCCATCCGTCCATCCATCCATCCATCCATCCATCCATCCATCCATCCATCCATCCATCCATCCATCCATCCATCCATCCATCCATCCATCCATCCATCCATCCATCCATCCATCCATCCATCCATCCATCCATCCATCCATCCATCCAGTTTAACCCAAACACTTCTGTATTAGACAAAAGGCTGTTTATTTTTTTTTTATTTATTCAGATGAAACTAATTTATCCTTTTGGTGTTTTAAAACTTGACTGAAATAAAGGTAAAAAAGCTACTAATGTGGGGAATGTGCTCAGGGTACATTTCTTTGTTTCTGCGAATGTCTCCTTATTAATTTATTCTTTAACATAATACCAGATGTAAAGTCAGGTCATTGACCTCTTCGTGATTCCAGAGAAAGGCCGTCTCTCCCTCCTCATCATCTGCTGTGATTCAGAATAAAAGCTGCATTTTCAAATGGTTGCTAAGGAAGTCCAGATACACAAGTGTTTGCTGTGATACTCATCTTAAAATAGGGGAACTGAATGTAAGTGAGCACAGATCAGCTTTTTTTTTTGGCTGATTGAGGGCACATGACGCATTCAGGAGTGGGTGGCGGAGCACAAGGGAATCCCTGAACAACCTGATGAGGGTTTGCTTTCTTTTCTTGTTCTCCATGTGCTTCAATGTTTCCTCTGTGAGAAACCGCAGCAGTGACATCACCGACCGCCACACTTTCTAACATCTTCCAGAAGCTCAATTATGGGGAATTAGTAATGCTGACCAACACCAACAACACTTTACTGATGGACACCGGACAGTGCACAAAAATGAGATCAGGTGTCTATTGGCTAGTTCTCACCAAAAATTAAAATGTAATCATTATTTGAGCACAAAAACAAACCTCGGTTCACTTGGCGTTTCTGTGTGGAGTTTGCATGTTCTCCCTGCCTTTGCGTGGGTTTCCTCCGGGTGCTCCGGTTTCCCCCACAGTCCAAAGACATGCAGTACAGGTGAATTGGGTAGGCTAAATTGTCCGAGTGTGTGTGGATGTTTCCCAGAGATGGGTTGTGGCTGGAAGGGCATCCGCTGCGTAAAAACTTGCTGGATAAGTTGGCGGTTCATTCCGCTGTGGCGACCCCGGATTAATAAAGGGTCTAAGCTGACAAGAAAATGAATGAATAATTAACTTCCTAAACTCTGGGACCCGGTAGTACCGGTCCATACTGGCCCAATACCCCCATAAGTGGTTTTGTTCTTTTATTAATTGGAATATAATAACTTTTGCATAGATTATAATAGACATTTATCTTTTCTCTATTATTACTGACATGTGCAGGAATCACCAAAATGAAGTACAGCAACCTCGACCACAGAGGGCCCTATCATACACCCGGCGCAGTGTGGCGCAAGGCGTGGCGCAATAGTCTTTTGGTAGTTTCAGCTTGGCGCAAGAGTTGTTTTGAGGCGTTGCGCTACGCTGTTTAAATAGCAAATGCATTAGCGCTCATTTGTGCGCTCATAGGCGTTCTGGTCTAAAAAGGAAGGCGTTCTGAGGCGCACTGCTGGCGCGTCGCTATTTTGAGAAACTATAATAGATTTTTCATTAGACCAAAACTAACCCGGTCTAAACTCCAGCGCAGAGTTGCGCCTCGCTTACACACTGCTTAATACACACAAGAGAGCAATAGGCAAATATCTTTACATATGAAAAAATGTAAATATTAAGGATATATATAGGATATAATAAGAATAGATATAGGATATAAACATAAAGGATTAAAATATTACAAAACATATTATTTTCTAGCCTACATAAATATGAAAAATCACTGCTTTTATGTCTTCTTCATCTCGGGAGGCTTTTTCAGTTCATTCAATTTGCTTTTGTATAACGTTATTATTATTAGCAGTATTATTTATTATATCCATATTTATATTTATTTTATTAAAAACAAGCTTAGATTTGTCCACCTGTCAGGTTTTAGACTATATGGGGCACAGCATGTGTTTTAGGATATAACTCAGGTTTTTGAGCACACTTTGTTATTATTATTCATTTATTAGTTTGCTGGAAATTAGAACTGAATTTAGAAATAGTTTTAAAATGAATCTTTGCTCTGTTTAACAGTTTTCTGTTAAAAATTTTTTTCAACTGTTAACTGTTTGCTTGTGAAATGCTAAGTTTTTCTACTTAGACTTATTTTACGTCCTGTAAATAGCGAATGTGCTCTTGGCGTGACGCAGCTGACTCTTAAAGGGAATGGGAGATGAGACTCTGATTGTTTTTTTCTTAAAACACACCTATAACTCATTAAGAAAATAAACTCAACCCTTTTAGACCATGCAACTTGGCGCAAAGTGGATTTTCCCGTCCGTAACTTAGCAAAAATGCGTTCTGACACACCCTGAAAGCGTTTGCTCCCTGCGTTTTGCGCTCTGCGCATGGACCATCAAAATAGAGCCCGTAGAAACTAAAAGGCACTCTTTTAAATTTGAGCTTACAAAAAAAGTGCCTCTTTTTTGAGGGAATTTATTATGAAACAGACAACATATACAACTATTTTAATCACTCTCAAAAGTGTTTTATGAAAATTATAAGTGTTTTCTTTAAAATGATACCAAACTTTTGCATTTGCACCCCTGCATGTGGATTTGGGAAGCTTTTAAGTTTGAGTAGGCAAAATCCAGGCGGAAACCTCAAAATAGCACTTGACTTTTTTTTTTTTTGAATCTGAATAAAAATAAACATTTACACAGGTAAATAAATAGACTCACTGATGGACTAAAAACCTGCAAGAAACTCTGTATTTCTGCGTGTGCAGATTCCATGTGGGCCTGCTAGTAACTGTGTTCTTGTTTGTCCTCGCCATAATGACATGATGAAGAATTTTTACTAGTTATTTTGCAGGATTCTGCTTACAGAGGAATGTAAAGGCTTAACTAGGTTAATTAGGATAATATAGGCAAATTAGGATAATTTGTCAAGTCATTGTACATTTGTGGTTTGTTCTGTAGCCGGATAAAAAAAATCAAGGGGGATAAAATTGACCTCATAAGTTTTTACATTTTCAAAAAATATATAATTATGCATCATTTTAATAATTTAAACTTTTATTCTAGCCAAACTAAAAAAAATAAGATTTTGCCTGAAGAAAAATATAACAGGAAACACTGTGAAAATGTGTCTTGCTTTGCACTTATGAATTATTAGGGAAAATATTGGGGAAATATTTAAGAGGAATACATACGTTTTGTACAGTAGGTTGATCATTTTTGTCTTCAACTTTATTTCGTAATATGAGTTCATTGTCATGGTTGGCGCAGTGGGTAGCACATTTGCCTCACATCAAGAAATCTGCTGGTTCGAGCCCCGGCAGGGTCAGTGGTCATTTCTGTGTGGAGTTTGCATGTTCTCCCTTTATTGTGTGCTCTGATTTCCCCCACAGTCCAAACACACGCGCTGTAGGGGAATTGATGAACTACATTGGCTGTAGTGTATGTGAGTGTGTGCAAGAGCGTGTGGGTGTTTTCCAGTGTTGGGTTGCTGCTAAAAGGGCATCCGCTGCGTATAACATTTTATGGATAAGTTGAGGGTTCATTTTGCTGTGGCGACCCCTGATTAATAAAGGGACTAAGCCGAAAATGAATGAATGAGATCTGTCACACCGCCCAGCCCTAGTTGAGTGTTTATCTGCTTTAAAACCACCAAAGTAATACAAACACCCCCGCAACTAAACATTTCCACTCCTGTCCATGCCAGCTATTTAGATCTCTCTGTGTTTTTCAGGATGGAACGATACGTGAAGGGAAAGGAGGCGTTAGAGAGAGACCTGTACAGCCGCTTTGTGCTGGTCCTCAATGAGAAGAAAGCCAAACTCCGAGCCCTGCAGCAGAGGGTCCGAGAGCTGGAGGAGGCTGAGGAGGAGAGATCACCGAGGTAAAGAAGAAAGAAAAGACCAGCGCCACATTTCATCAGGATCTTTCTCTCACTTTTTCCCCGCTTTCCTGTTATTAAACATTCGATTTCGTTAGGTAATCCCATGATCGCATTACGCTGATTTCCACTTCCAGTTTTGTGTTGAGTCATTTTCCTGTCTGTGCTCATGATTCAAACTTAAAATGAGCAAAACATCTGTTCTAAAATTAGGAAGGTTTACAGTAGTCAGCAGTTGAAGTTGGACAGAGTAGTCCTAAAAATGATTTTTTTATCAACTTCAAATATTGAGTAATGTACACTCACCGGCCACTTTATTAGGTACACCTGTCCAACTGTTTGTTAACGCAAGTTTCTAATCAGCCAATCACATGGCAGCAACTCAATGCATTTAGGCATGTAGACACAGTCAAGACAATCTGCTGCCATTCAAACTGAGCATCAGAATGGGGAAGAAAGGGGATTTAAGTGACTTTGAACGTGGCATGGTTGTTGCTGGCAGACGTGCTGCTCTGAGTATTTCAGAAACTGCTGATCTACTGGGATTTTCATGCACAACCATCTCTAGGGTTTACAAAGAATGGTCTGAAAAAGAGGAAATATCCAGTGAGTGGCAGTTCTGTGGGCGCAAATGCCTTGTTGATGCCAGAGGTCTGAGGAGAATGGCCAGACTGGTTCCAGCTGATAGAAAGGCAACAGTGACTCAAATAAGCACTCGTTACAACCGAGCTCTGCAGAATTTCGGATGGTCGGGTCAGAATTTGACCTCAAAAACATGAAAGCATGGCTCCATCCTGCCTTGTATCAGCGGTTCAGGCTGGTAATGATGTAAGGAAGATTTTCTTGGCACACTTTGGGCTCATTAGTACCAGTTGAGCATGGTGTCAACGCCACAGCCTACCTGAGTATTGTTGCTGACCATGTCCATCCCTTTATGAGCACAGTGTCTCCATCTTCTGATGGCTACTTCCAGCAGGATAACGCAGCATGTCATAAAGTTCAATCATCTCAGACTGGTTTCTTGAACATGACAATGAGTTCACTGTACTCAAATGGCCTCCACAGTCACCAGAGCTCAATCCAATAGAGCACCTTCGGGATGTGGTGGAACGGGAGATTGACATCATGCATGTGCAGCCGACAAATCTGCAGCAACTGTGTGATGCTATCATGACAACATGGAGCAAAATCTCTGAGGAATATTTCCAGTAGCTTGTTGAATCTAAAGGGGGTCCAACCTGGTACTAGTAAGGTGTACCTAACAAAGTGGCCGGTGAGTGTTGTTCACAATTATTGATAACTAAAGACAAAAATGCATTTAGCAGATGCTTTTGTCCAAATCTACTCACAATCGAGGAGGTGTTCAGCGATTCAACAAGAGAAGGCAAAGCAAACAACAAGGGCTGATTATATAAAGGAACTGCTAGTGCTCAGAGAATTAAGTGCTTGATAGTAAGGAGGGGGAGTTGTTTTGGATATAGAGAGAGAGTGTTTTCTACAGGTGGTTTGTCAAGCTTATTCACCTGTGTGAGGCACACTCAGAATTGCATAATGTTTTAAGGTTGTTGTTTTAAGGTGGTATGGTGGGGGGGGGTATGGTGCAGTAAAGGGGGTCCTGTTTTTTAATGCAATCATTTATTAAACGGATGTTCTTCAAATGTTTGTGATTTGTGGCTTTTTAAAGTTAGATGTCCTACCAACTTGGCACAATATTGTCACATAATGTATCATGTAACGTCACATGACCCTTCAGAAATCATTCTAAAATCCTGCTTATGTGTTTAAGGGCGTACTCACAATAGGTACAGTTGCCTTGAACCGTGCCGAAGCGCGCTTGCCCCACCCCCCTCCCCGCCCTTCTTTTTTTATACCCTTTTTGTAAGGTATAATTTAGGAATTTAAAAATATATGCATTTTAAAAATATCTGTACATGTGCTTAATGAGATTTTTTATTTAAAAATAATAATATCTTATTTTAAACTGTAGTGTATACCGTATGAACACATCATCAAACCTGTTCACACAAACTTTTTCGTTAGTTTGTCATCTGAATGCATTCAGTGCGTGTTGTACTTGTTCTGTTCTCTTAGAAAGAAAAAGGCAGATAGTGAAGATCATGAAGCGGTGGAGGCGGCAGCAGATAAGAGTCCTGATGAAGAGAGTGATTATGGAGGAAGTACGGAAGATGAACAGGAAGCAGAACCCAAACGCCTCGACCCAAAACCTCCTACAGAAGGTGAATCTGTTTATTTAAAGTTTATCGAATTTTATTTTTTGTTCTGTTTTATTTTTTTGCTTTATTTTTGTTTTGTTTAATGTTTTGTCAATCAATTATTTTATTTTATGTTTTGTTTTATTTTGTTTTATGTTTTATTTATTTGTTTTATTTTATTTTATATTTTATTTTAATTTTTTGCTATTTTATTTTGTTTTGTTATATTTTTTGTTTTATTTGGTTTGTTATTTTATGTTTTTTATTTTATTTAATGTTTTGTTTTATTTTGTTTTTTGTTATTTGTGTTATTTTATTATATTATTTTTGTTTTGTTTCAATTTATTTATTTATTTTTGTTTCATTTAATTTTTTTTATTTTGTTATTTTTTGTTTTATTTTATTTTATATATATATATATATATATATAATATAATTATTTTATATATATATATATATATATATATATATATATATATATATATATATATATTTATAGTTTAGTTTTTTAATGTTTTTTTTATTTTATTTTTCATTTTATATTATTTTTGGTTTGTTTTATTTATTTAATTATTTTGCTTTTATATTTTGTTATTTTATTTTTAAAATTTTAGATTATTTTTTGTTTTGTTTATTTATTTTTTATTTAATTTTTTTGTTTTGTTTTATGTTTTGTTTATTTATTTATGATTTTTTTTTGTCTTCCTGGCAAGTGTTTCTTGCAGGTGGTTTGTCAAGCCCACTCACCTGCATGGAGCACACTCGCTCATCCTACAGTTATGTGATGCATTGCATGTATGCTTCACTAAAAAGACAGGCCTTTAATCATGTTTTAAACATCTTGAAGGATGATTTGAATCCGCTTGAGACGTAACATCACTATAGGTATCCCGAATCTTTTTTTTTCAGTACAAAAGTTGCTTACCCAACTATGATGACGTCATCTGCTAAAATTGTTCCTTGGCAACCCAGTGTGCGTTTGTTGTATTTCGACATCAGGCTGTGTTTGGGGGCTCCATTGAGTCACAGTTTGGAGGCACAGAAAGGGAAATGAGGTGGAGTCGCCACATGATTTAGTCCGAGTTGCTCAATTCCTCTGTTTTTCCCCCTGTGTAAACCCTGCAGAGTCAGAAAAGTGAAGCGCAGCACCGTCAGAAAAGCCCCTTTCACAGTCACGTGACGCTGTAAACAGTGTGAATTGTAGTGTATGGTTGCTAGGTGTGATTCGTCTTGGTTTAGATTCTCAGACAGAGCCTTTTGAGCTTCAGTTATTGTCCGTTTCCCTTCTCGAGTCAGTGGTGTGTGTTTCAGAGTGTGTGTTTGGGAATGTTTTTGTGCTTAAAGAGATTTTACATGAAGCGTAATTTAAGCCTTTAATGTGGTTTGGTTGTTTGTTGCACCAAATAGTGAGTTAAACCCATGTAGTTTCATAGTAGTATCTGTTTAGAGGTTTTCAACCTCTCAGGACACACACACCCCCTAGTTTGTCCAATTTTGACCTCTTAATGCCAATTCTTTACATCGAAAAAAGTCAGCTGGTTTATCTTTTAACATCGAATGTTTTGTTGGTAAGGGATGCTGAAGGATCACTGAAGGCGTATATTTTGTTATCATAATGATCTAATGTGACCATAAGATCGTAACTGTACTGTGTGTTTACACAGTGGCCATGTTTATAAATGTAAACACACGAAAACAACATTAACATTATAGCAGACACTGTAAACAGCCCATTCTCAGCCACTAGACTGTTCTGACAGGGTATTCCAGTGTCAGAATGTTGTGGGACTGCTGTACAGGAGTTATGATTAGGGATTATAGATCATGAAATTCAGCGTTTTTTTATTTTAAGCATGACAGTAATACATGAGCGCGGTTATGAATGTGTTAAATCAATGGTTCTCTAACTGTGGTACGTGTCCCACTAGTGGTACGCCGGCTATCTTCTAGTGGTACGTGGAGAAATCAAATTTGTCATGTGTACATGCTACATTCATTCATTCATTCATTTTCTTGTCGGCTTAGTCCCTTTATTAATCCGGGGTCGCCACAGCGGAATGAACCGCCAACTTATCCAGCAAGTTTTTACACAGCGGATGCCCTTCCAGCCGCAACCCAACTCTGGGAAACATCCACACACACATTCATACACTACAGACAATTTAGCCTACCCAATTCACCTGTACCGCATGTCTTTGGGCTGTGGGGGAAACCGGAGCACCCGGAGGAAACCCACGCGAAGGCAGGGAGAACATGCAAACTCCACACAGAAACGGCAACTGAGCCGAGGTTTGACCCAGCGACCTTCTTGCTGTGAGGCGACAGCACTACCTACTGCGCAACTGCCTCGCCCCTTTAGGCCAATTTAGTTTGTTCAATTGACTTATAGCCGGAAACGGGAGCACCAGGAGGAAACCCACGCCCACACGGGGAGAGCATGCAAACTCCACACAGAAATGCCAACTGACCCAGATGGGACTCGAACCAGCGACCTTCTTTCTGTGAGCCCACAGTGCTAACCACTGAGCCACCGTGCCGCCCCATTTACATGTTTATCAACTAAATTCATCCCCAAATTGCACAAGTTAATGTTGCTGCTAAATATAATATACAAAAGATTTACAGTCACTGCTTTGATTTTTGCAATTTGTATTTTTGACACCTAACAGTGCACCATACATGCCTGGGTCAAAATGACTCGCGAATGTAAAACTGTGTGTGTGTTTTTAATTCTTTTAATGAGTCAAATCCATGCTTTACTTCTCTGATAAGTGGGAATGCAGCTGAATGTGGTATGAGGGTTAAACCAGTGGAGACATTACACACTAACTACTGTCAAAATGCAAATAGCAGATGAAATTCACTGCAGTTTTGAGCATTCTCCCACTGTGCTATGCTGTCGTATCACATGAGGCTGACGCAGTCCTGCTGTTTTGTTGCATGTAAGATGCTGAATGTTGATGTTCGACATGTTTTTAATGCGTTTATGATGCTGATTGTGTTCGCAGAATCCTATCTTGGCCGTCAGCCTGCGAGAACCTCCATTAATCCTGTTCAGAGTCATTTATACAAGCAAACATTCACAAATATCAGTAAATCATCTCCTGCTTTGTTTTTTGAATGGCTGAAAGCATCATATTGGCAGCAGATGACTATGGAGCTCATAGAATGAATTAGAAGAAAGTATTAAAAACTGCTTGATGCATTTTAAATAAACCTGAGGAATTGAATTAAATAGAGCGGCGCAGTGGCTGTGGTTAGCACTATTGCCTCTCAGCTAGAAGGTCGCTGGTTTGAGCCTCCGCTGGGTCGGTTGGAATTTCTGTGTGGAGTTTGCATGTTCTCCCCGTGTTGGCGTGGGGTTCCTCTGGCTGGTCCGGTTTCCCCCACAGTCCATCAATAAAGGGAATATTTAATGGAAGGAAAATGAATGAATGAATGAAATAAAAAGTATGGAAATACAGAAAAATATTCAGATAATTATATAATATTAGTAATAAACATGCCTCTAATTAAAATATATATTTATCTATCTATAATATCTGTATAATATCTATACAGTGCTCAGCATCATTGAGTACACCTCTCACAGATCTCTAAATGAATAAAAAATTTATATAGCAGGGCTCGAAATAAACCTTTTTGCTTGGTAGCACCGGTGCTCCTAACTTTTAAAATGTAGGCGCATCAGCCAAAATTTAGTCGCACCCACCAATTATAAGCATCGTTACTACAAGTGTTATACAAGCATATTTATTGCAATTGAAATCAACAGTATTTAAACTAATAAGCAAAAAAATATATATGCAAGCGTGAGGAAAATATGTCTCTATGAAATCCCGTTATCACAAGACAATAGATTTTTATAACATAACTGAGTGAGCAAAAGATACACGGAGCGCTCATCGGCCCTGCACACACTGCTGGACATGAATGAATCTGTTAACGATATAACTGTGCTGTTCTCACGGGTGCTGTCTGATATTGCACTGATGCTTTTGACATATACTGTACCTTATTATATGCATACGTTGTGTTAATAGCCATAGCTGTCTTTTCATGAGCAGCGATGTTAGTTCACTCAGTGTAAGCCTGTTTGCGATGGTGTACGTGATGTTAAATTTGACATATAGCTGCCACTTGCACGGCGGACAGCATCTGGCGATTATATGAAGGATTAAACTGAAGCTCTCGTGCTAGATGTGGCAAACAGTTACCTGAAAATCCCACCCCACAGACTTTTCATAGCGGACTTGAAGCCAACGGAAGTCTTTTATCCACTCTCTATTCACATTCAGCACATGATCACTAGTAAGATGTGTCATTATTTGTAACTTTAGATGCCATGGTGTCTAAAACAAAATCTGTCAGTGTTATCTTCATTCTCATCTTCAGCACTTTACAGTTTTTCGCAGTAGTAGCTCTCTCTGTCATCACAAGCCAGAAGGTATTGACTGAGTGATTGACAGCTGATATTTCAGTGCTAGAGCAGTGGGCCAATAATAAGAGTGCGAAGGCGGGGCAAGCATTACGGACTTTGCTTTGTTTACTGCAGCAATTTGACATGACAACTGTTTTAAACCATTCCTGAGCGCTGCATTTCAAGTGCAGAGATGCATTCTGCATGAATGTCTCCCGAATCCCCCTATGTGGTGAACATTTTGCAGTAAAAACTGGTCACACACAACAATTTTATGCACTCGCACAAATGCTCCCAATTATATTTTGAGGTCGCATAAATAAAATTTCAGGCGCATATGCCACCAAAATGGTTGCAATTTTAATCCTGTCTATATTCATCTGATTAATCATTACCAAATCCATAACTGTAACTAATCCAACAAAAAAAAAAAAAAAAAAACGGTAGTCAAATTAGTATGTTAGGCAACGAAATTTAAATAAACAGAAAAAATCTAGAGATACAAAAAAAAAAAAATCTAATTTAGTTAATTTGTTGTTGTAATTTTATTTTCTTGCAATAACTCATTTGAATTTAAGTGTATTATCTTTCTATTCTTAAAGATGTTCGGTGATCAAACTCTTATTTTAATGAATATACCTGTTTAATAAAACTGATTAGTTTAAAGCACCTTATATATTCAAAAAGGCGGCAACACCAAAGCTCCAACATACAAGTTTATTAAATGAAAAAGGCTGACACAAAGCATGTGACGCTTCAAGCACACGGCTCTTCATCAGACAGTTCAAAAGCACCCAAATATTTTGGCTATATTTATTCTACGTTTATGCTGAGCACTGTGTTCTCAAAACAAATAGTCCGTACCATTTCTGTCCGAGAAAATGTGGCTAAATTCAGAAAAACTAAAACAAATCTACACACTAAACAACGCTGAGTTATTCATTTCACCCAATGGTTGAGTTAAACATATTTGGTGCTTTGTTAGGTTATGTTTAACCTTTATTAGGTTATTTATTAATAACTCAACCAGTTGGGTTAAATATTTGGTGCTTTGTTGGGTTATTTATGACCTTTATTTGGTTATAACTCAGCCAGGGCGACGCAGTGGCGCAGTAGGTAGTGCTGTCGCCTCACAGCAAGAAGGTCGCTGATTCAATCCTCGGCCAGTTGGTGTTTCTGTGTGGAGTTGGCATGTTCTCCCTGTGGGTTTCCTCCGGGTGCTCCGGTTTCCCCCACAGCCCAAAGACATGCGGTACAGGTGAATTGGGTAGGCTAAATTGTCCGTAGGCTTTTGCGCATCTGCTAGAGCCCATGAACATCTCCATGTTTTGTCTCTCAGAGATGCCAGAATGCAGCCCGATGGATGACAGTCTGAATGACATCACAGACGTGGCTCCGTGCCGTAAACGCCGCCATCGGCACCTGCAGCAACTCGAGGCTCAAGCCAAACGCAAAACGCTGGAGCAGCAGCACAGATCCAGGTATCACATTCACAGATCCTCACTCTCCATCTCTGCATGACACCCATAAACCCCTGCGACTTTCTGCCTGTATAAACCTTAACATAAATAACTCAATATAAATATAGATATATGCTCTCCAACAGTTTCTTGGGAAAAGCTAAATGAATGACGTTGCATAAAAATGTCAGTGAATATTCCGCTTGTCTTACTCTCTGGTGTCCATTTCACACAATCCTGGACGCAGCGTTCTCTCCATCCCTGCAGACAGAAGCCAGTTTCTCAGAATCCTCTTCAATTTTCAGGAAATCATTGGTCTTTTTCCATGTGTCTTGCGTTTATTCCAGCTAGAGCCCCCCTTGGTGCTTGTGTCTCAGGCACTTTTTTATTCATTATTAGAAAACGTGTATCATTTCATCTCCTGGTTTGCCAGTACTTTCTCAGTGGCTTCCATAATTGTACCATAAAAATCCTATGAATGGTTTCGATTTGCATTGAGCCAGTCCTGAGAAAACCTGTTGTGTTTGTCCTGAAATACTCCCTGTTTTGGAGATTATTTGGTGATGGTTTTTATTCTGTAGTTGTTGTATCAGTGTTATTGTTCCTGGGTGATTCGTTCATGGTTTCCCACAGTCTCATCCATCCTTTGTTGGAGGTTTTCTTGGTTATTTTTCATTTGTATGGTTGATTTACTTGTTTTCCAGTAGTTTTGGTTGGTTTCTATTGTTTTCCAGTCGGTTGTCTGATTGGTTTGTTTCCATATCAGTATTCTGGTCATTAGTTCAGTTAATTGGTTCATTTCTTTGTTCATTTGTCCAATTAACTAGATGGTTTGTTTGTTTTCCAGTCAATTACCTGATTGGTTGGTTTGTTTTCTGATTGCTTTTCTAGTTAATTAGTTGGTTTGTTTGTCTGATAGTTTTTTTTTTTGGTGATCTTTTTATCCCAATTGATTTTTGCTTTGTTTTGTTTAGTTTTTTGCAGTTTTTTGATTGGTTTGTTTGTTTGTTTTTCTGTCATTTTTGTAGTCAATTAGTTTAGATTTTTCAGTCAATTTTCTGATTGGTTGGTTTGTTTTCTAGTTGGTTTTCTAGTCAATTAATCAGTTTGTTTATTTCTTATTTGCTTTGTTTTTCAGTAGTTTTTCTGATTGATTTATTTGTTTTTTTTTATAAGTTTTATTCAGTTAATTGCTAAATTTGTTTGTTTTCCAGTTGGTTTTCTGATTGGTAAGTTTGTTTTCCGGGCAGTTAATTAGTTGCTTTGTTTGTCTTCTGGTCAGTTAATTACTGTAGCTGCTTTATTTTTTTCCAGTCAGTGTTCAGATTGGTTTGTTTGTTGACTGGTCATTTTTCTAGTTAATTAGTTGGTTGGTTTGTTTTCCAGTTGTTTTTCTAATCGGTTTGTTTCTGTTTTCCAGTTAGTTGTTCAGTTAATTAGTTAATTTGTCTGTTAACTTGTCTAGTTAGCTAGTTGGTTGGTTTTTCAGTAAATTTATTGATTGGTTTGTTTGTTTTCTGGTTGGTTTTCTGATTGGTTTGTTTGTTTTCCAGGCATCTTCTTGATTGGTTTGTTTGTTTTCTGGTCATTTGTCCAGTTAATTGGTTTGTTTTATTTATTTACCATTTGGTTAGTTTGTTTTGTTGGAGGTTTTCTTGGTTATTTTTCATTTGTATGGTTGATTTGCTTGTTTTCCAGTAGTTTTGGTTTGTTTCTATTGTTTTCCAGTCGGTTTCCTGATTGGTTTGTTTCCATATTAGTATTCTGGTCATTAGCTCAGTTAATTGGTTTATTTGTTTATTCATTTGTCTAGTTAACTAGACGGTTTGTTTGTTTTCCAGTCAATTACCTGATTGGTTGGTTTGTTTTCTGATTGCTTTTCTAGTTAATTAGTTGGTTTGTTTGTCTGATAGTTTTTTTTTTGGTGATCTTTTTATCCCAATTGATTTTTGCTTTGTTTTGTTTAGTTTTTTTTGCAGTTTTTTTGATTGGTTTGTTTGTTTGTTTTTCTGTCATTTTTGTAGTCAATTAGTTTAGGTTTTTCAGTCAATTTTCTGATTGGTTGGTTTGTTTTCTAGTTGGTTTTTAGTCAACTAATCAGTTTGTTTATTCCTTAATTGCTTTGTCTGTTTTCAGTAGTTTTTCTGATTGATTCATTTGTTTTCTGGTAATTTTTATTCAGTTAATTGCTAAATTTGTTTGTTTTGCAGTTGGTTTTCTGATTGGTAAGTTTGTTTTACGGTCAGTTAATTAGTTTCTTTGTTTGTCTTCTGGTCAGTTAATTACTGTAGTTATTATTTTTTTTCAGTCAGGTTTCATAGTTGGCTGGTTCGTCTTTCAGTTGGTTTTCTGATTGGTTTGTTTGCTTTCCAGGCATCTTCTTGATTGGTTTGTTTGTTTTTTGGTCATTTGTCCAGTTAATTGGTTTGTTTTATTTGTTTACCAGTTGGTTAGTTTGTTTTCTGTTTGGTATTGTAATTAAATTGTTTATTTTCTGGTTGATTTATCAATTAATTGGTTTGCAATTGGTTGGTTTATTTATTTTTTAATTGTTATTGTTGGTAATTTTTTTTTCTTGTTAGTTTGTATTCTTGTTTTTTTTGTTGTTGTTTGTTTTTTGTTTACTTGTTTGTTGTACAGTTAGTTTCCTATTTTCTGTTTGTTAATTGATTTCTGGCCGTTAGTCGGTTGGTTTCTTTGTTTTCCAGTTGGTTTGTTTGTTTTCTGGTTGATTTATCAGTTAGTTGGTTAATTTTCCTCACACCCCCAAATTGGGTAGATTACGTATTATTGTTTTATTTTTCCTTTATTTACAGTTTGCTTTCTGTTTTCAGTTTATTAGTTGGTTTATTCGTCTTTCTGTTTTGTTTTTTTCTGATTTACTTGGTTTTATTGGTGTGTTTATTCATTTGCTAGTTGTTTTCAGCCCAGTTTTTTTTTATTCCAGTTGCTTTATTTGTTTTCAGGTTGTTTTTTTTCATAGTCCTGGAAAGTCAGATGAATTATTAATCATAATCTACTCTGTGAAAATCGTGGAATGTAACATGAAAAGAAAAAAAGTAGCCTATATCACTTTTAAATGGTTTTACCTGATGAATTGAGTATTACAGGGAAAAACATATTAATTTCTCCTGATATTTTACTGTAAAATATTGATAAATATAAAAATAGCCCAGTGTTTGTTGATTTTTGTGTGCTGATTAGTGTATTCCATGAGGAGAGCTGTGTGTTTAATTGAATTGATTTATTAACTGAGCCACACTGTAACTCTCTTTGAAATGAGCTGCCAAATTAGACAGTAGATAGACATGCGGCACACTGGCATTTGAACACAGCCCTTAGTTTCTTAAGTTGGCAGACTTGTACAAAAGACAGTTTGGCTTCATACTGTATTGACGTTATGCTGGGATATGGAGATTTAAGAGGGTCTTTTTAAAACCTGCTGAAAAACAAGAGTGTTTGTGTGACCGAGTAAATGTTTAAAAGTGTGTGTAGTCTCCTAGTGTTAGCGACTGCTCTGTATATGCTCAGATGGATGACGTTTGCAGGCCGCGGTGGTCTATGACAGAATGGTGCCTTTGCGCCAGATGGTTTGTGTGTCAGGTGTTGAGGGACACTGAGAGTTTTTATTGGATGTGTTTGCTCATTCTGTTATGAAGCAGGTTCTGCCACCATGGTAAGACTTTCCAAATGTTAATAGACTTCTGTGGCATGCAGATCTTGGCTAAAAAGGTTTAGTATATGGAGTTATAAGATATACTGTATGGCAAAATTATAAGGTATGTTAACTGGTTGTTCTCACAGAATAAAGCCTGACAGGCTTGCTGGGAGGCGATCGTGCTACCCACTCCTTCTCCGTGGCGCCTTTATTCATTTATTTCATTGTTATTTATTTATTTCATCGTTATTTATTCATTTGTTTTCATTTATTATTATTTGTTTTTCATTATGTATGTATTTATATTAATATTTTTTTATCTATTTATTTTTTATTGTTATAAAGTTGTTAATTTATTTTTTATTTATTTATTTTATTTATTATTTATTTATTTTTATGTATTTATTTTAGTATTTTATCTATTTTATTTATTTATTATAGTATTTATTTATTTCATTTTTATTTATTTATATAAGCATTTTTGTTTATCTATTTTATTTATTCATTATTTACTTTTTAATTTGAATTATTATTTTTTTGTATTTTTTTATTTATGGAATTTTAATATTTATTTATTTTGTTGTTTTTAATTTATGTATATATTTTTATCTATTAATTTTTGTTATTTTTTTAATTTATGCAATTTATGCTTATTTATTTATTTATTTATTTATGTATTTGTTTATTTATTCTTTATTTTATTTAAATTCTTTCAAACATTTCCCAAATGCTGTTTAATGAGAATTTTTTCAACACATTTTAAACATTAATAGTTTTAGTAACTATTTTTTATTTATTTATTTTTACATTTTTATTTTTTTATTTTTTTAAATAAACATGATAGTTTTAGTAACTATTTTTAATTAATTATATTATTATTTTTATTTGATTAATTAACTGCCTCCATCCTGAACGACCCCACTCACCCACAACACGGATTATTCACACTCCTACCCTCAGGGCGGAGGTATAGGAGTGTGAGATGCAGGACTGCCAGACTCAAGAACTCTTTCTTCCCATCAGCTATCAGACTTCTAAACAGATAACCAACGTACATAACAGTCTCTTTTTCTGCTCAGTACAACACTACATACTCCATCCCATTTTGCACTATTTTATTTTTTTTGCACATAAGCCAATTGCACTAGGCACTTTTTGCATAATAAGCACAATAAAAAAAAAAAAACACTGTACATTGTTTACATCGGTTTCATTACTCAAATCAGGTTTATATATTGTTTACTTTCATAGATATTTATATACTTACATTTTATAATCATACTTCAGTCACTTCTGTGTATATATGTGTATTTATGTGTATGTTGTGTATGATGTGTATGTTGTGTGTATGACTTCACTGTGG